CCCGGCTGCAGGCCTTCATCTCACTATTGTCTATGTCCATGGGTTATGCATATATGCACATAAGTTCTTTGATTAATCTCTCCCCACCCACTCCCCCCAGACCGCCTTCCCTCTGAGATCCCTCAGTCTGTTCCATGCTTCTGTGTCTCTGGATCTATTTTTTTCCTTGGTCTATTTTGTTTATTAGATTCCACATATGAGTGAGATCATGTAAAACAATCGGGAAGAATCAGAAAAACCCCCAATAGGCCAATAGCAACTGATGAAATCGAAACAGTAATTTAAAAACTCCCAGCAAACCAAAGCCCTGGTCTGGATGGCTTCACAGGAGAGCTTTCTAATTCTTTAAGTTGTAGGGTTAGATAGTTTTCTAAAAAATTTTCTTGCTTTTTGAGGTAGGCCTGCAGTGCTATGAACTTTCTTCTTAGGACTGCTTTCGCTGTGTCCTATAGATTTTGGGTGGTTGTATATTCATTTTCATGTTTGCAAGAAGTTTTTGATTTCTTTCTTGATCTTATTGGTAACCCATTTAATATTTAATAACATGCTATTTAGCCTTCATGTGTTTGAATGTTTTTGACTGTTTTTACTGTAGTTGATTTCTAATTTCATGCCATTGTGATGAGATGTGTGATATGATTTTAGTCTTCTTGAACTTGTAGAGACTGGTTTTGTGTCCTAACATGTGGCCTGTCTTTGAGAATGACCCATGTGTACTTGAGAGGAATGTATATTCTGCAGCTTTGGGGTGAAATGCTCTGTAAATATCAATTAAATCCATCTGATTGAGTGTGCCATTTAATCACTGTTTCTGTGTTGACTTTTTGTCTGGAGGATCTATCCAGTGAGGTCAGTGGGGTGTTAAAGTCCACGACTATGACTGTATTGCTGTTGATCTCTCCCTTAAAGTCCTTAAGGTTATTACTGATAGGTCCTTATTTATTGCCATTTTAATTCTTTATGCCTATGTTTCTCTCTATATTTCTTATTATCACAGCAGTCCCTTTAACATTTCTTGCAATGCTTCTATTTCTACTTCTAATTACAGCAGCCCCTTTAACATTTCCTGCAATGCTGGTATGGCAGTGATTAACTCCTTTAGTCTTTTTTTCTCTGGGAAGCTCTTTATTTCACCAACTATTTTGAATGATAGCCTTGCTGGATAGAGTAGTCTTGGTTTCAGATCCTTGGTTTGCATTACCTTGAATACTTCATGCCATTCCCTTCTGGCCTGTAGAGTTCTGATGAGAAGTCAGCTGACAACCTTATGGGAGCTCCTTTGTAGGTAACAGATTGCTTTTCTCTTGCTGCCTTTAATATTCTCTCTTTGTCTTGAATTTTTGGCATTTTAATTATGATGTCTCTGTGCATGGGCCTCTTTGGATTCTTCTTGCTTGGGACTCTCTGTGCCTCCTGAACCTGTGTGACTTTTTCCTTCACACAGGTTCTCTAACCCTTGCTTACTTTCAACCTCCTCTGGCACTCCTATGGTGTGAATATTGTTACATTTCATATTGTCACACAGCTCCCTTAGACTGTTTTTTAATTGTTTTTTGTTTTTGGGTCGCTGATTGAGTGATTTTTTTCTACCCTGTCTTCTAATTTGCTGATCTGATCCTCAGCTTCCTCTAATCTGCTGTTTATTCCTTCCAATGTATTCTTTATTTCTTTTATGTCATTCTTCATTTCTGACTGGTCCTTTTTCATAGTTTCCATATCTTTTTTCATGCTATTGAGCATCCTTGCAATCGGTGTTCTGAACTCTATATCTGAGAGATTTCTTATCTCCATTTTAGTTAGCCCTTTTTCTGGAGACATCTCTTGTTCTTTCATTTGGGGCTTGTTTTTTTTGTCTTCCCATTTGGCTGACTATTTGTGTTTGTTTCCATGTATTAGGTATATCTGCTAGGACTCTCAGTATTTGGAAGGTCTCTGGTGCAGGCCAATGTCAGGCGCTGTTTGTGACTGTTTGGAGCTATCAACAACCCATGGCTTAAGGTCTCCTCTGCTAGGGCTGGGTGCATTTGGACAGGACCAAGATGCACATCCAAGTCTGCTTTTCCAAGGCTCAGGTTCAGAAGCAGATCAGGCAAAGACTCAAAGCACTCTGAGGTCTGCCTCTGCCTGCGGACTGATTAATCTGATTCTCTTAATGAGCCTCAGGCTGTAGAAACTCCTCTGGGTAGGGCAAGAGGTTTTCCAGCAGGGTGGGGCAATTGCTTCCTCTCCAGGCAAGAGCTTCTTGGAAGGTAAATGTATGCCTATGAAAGATATCCTCTGCAGTATGGGGGAATGACTTGGCACAGGAATACAGAGGGGTACCCTCTGAGCTCTATCTCCAGAGCCCACAACTCTAGATTCTCCCCACACAGCTCCAGTTCACTCTGCCCTCCCTTTGCCAGAGTCCAAGGTGAGTGGCCACAAATGAAACTTAGTGTGTTGGCCCTTTAAGAGGGTGCCTGCAGTTTCAGCTGCCTCTCCCTGCCAGACAGAAACCCCACTGCTTTTCACAGCCAGATGTTATGTGGGCACCTTTCTCAGTCCTGGTGCTCTTGGCTGGGTGGACCAGCCTGGGGTTTAGGCCCCAGAGTCCTCAGTGGGAACCCCCACAGCTGAGATCTCCCTCCAGACCTTCAGCTGCTGCCTGTGGGAGCCCAGCCAGCCCTCCTGCACCTGCACACTTCCTACCAGTGTCTATGCGGTCTCCACTTTTCCTCCTTGGTTATGACAGTGCTCCCCAGCTCATCTTCAGTTGCAGTTGATTATTCAGGGTGTTTTTTCTGTATTTTAGTTGTCATTCCAGTTTGGTCCTGGGAGAGTCAGTGTAGCTTCCACTCAGTCCACCACCATCTTTAATATCCTCTCTTCTCTTAACTGTGTTCCTCCCATGGTAGCTTTTACCTTCAAGCTAATCTAGTGCAGTGTGCTTCTTGTTCCATTTGTTCAATTCTACTCTTTGGAGACTTACTGGGACGTTCGGTTTCAGAACTGCCTGCAGCCAGAAATCAGTGAGGTTGCTGTTGTTTGGAAGGTGATCCCAGGTCATAGTTAATCCATTCATATTGCTGGACTGTCATTTCTAGAGCGAGCATGTGGGTGAGATGCTACAATCATGCATAGCTCTGCATTGCTGGTCATTTTTCATGGCTGATGGGAAATCCTCACTGTTGGATTTCCATAATTCTTCAAAAGGACAATTCATCTCTGTCCTTACAGCTGAATCCCTGCACATCGGGGACACCTCCCGCCTTGGAGAATGGACAAGGATTTTTGTGCCTCTGGTTCTGCAAATACATCCTGTGTCTCAAAACACCTTGGGTGGTATTCAGTTGATGCAATTTACATGTGATTATGCAACCAGTCTAAGCAATTCTCTGGGAACTATTTGTCAAGCTGAGAAAAGAAGACACCTTGCATATCACCTTGTACTTTCAGGTGGCGTCATCCTGGGTAAGGAATGAGGGGCCAGGAGCCAGGGAGGGTCTTGGCTCATCAGCCCTCCTCCCAGACAGACTGCTCCCTGCACCTCAGCAGTGGCAGCTAATAATAAGTTATTGTTTTCCTGCTTGTCTGGAAAGGCACCTAGAAACACAATTCTTGAGTATTAGGTGTGATGAAGAGGAGGCAGGCGAGCGCTGAGAGTGCACAAGGAACAATAGTCATCTGTTCCCTTGTCCCATCCCCTCTCCAGGGTAACCTGACAACTGTGATCACTGTGGGCATTTCATATGCCCTTTTGGAAGATATTTATGTTACAAATCGTTTCAAACACTTCCTGCTTAATTGGGAAAATTCTGTGAAAGCCTGAACTACAGGGAGTTGTGGAATGGGCCAAAGCATTTCAACTTTAGGAAAAGGGTGCAGTGTAAAATTCATTAGGAACTTGATTCGAGAGTCGAGGCGATTGTAATGAGCCGGTGATGGCCGTGATCGATAGAGCCGAGCTGAGGAAGCGGCGTATCGACAGGGAGCGACCTCTGTAGGACAAGAGCATGACTCAGGCCAGGTGCCGCTACTTGTTATGGACACGGGGCCACTTACAAATGCCACTGGTTTCTTTATTGCATATTGATTTAGCCAAGGTGATTAAATCCTAATTGCTAAGGACAAATGACGAAAGCATTTGCCAGAGCAAAAAATCAAGTAAGGGGGTGAAGACCTTGCAGTAATGGTGCCCATGGCTATTCCTGATGGTTTCCAGAGATCGTCCCCGACCACAGAGTAATTGGGAGGTGCAGCGAAGGCCAGGGACCGCGTCATTAGAAATACAGATGCAATAATTACACCTTGTACACCTCGCTGTAAAATGTGTAAAACTCGTATCGATATCTTTTATACTTCAAAGGCTTCCACCTTGAATTAAAAACGGAATGTTTAAAGAAAGTTTAATCACCCTAGCCGGTTCGGCTCAGTGGTTAGGATGTCAGCCCACAGGCTTGAAAAGTCTTGGGTTCAATTGCGGCCAAGGGCACATACCTCGGTTGCAGGCTCGCTGTGTCTCTCACATCGATGTTTCTCTGTCTCTCCCCCTTCCACTCTCTCTGAAAAGCAATGGAAAAAATATCCTTGGGTGAGAATTAAAAAAAAAAAGTACATTAATCCCTTTCACAAAATCAGACAACATGGAACCTGTCCTGGCCTGTTTTATTATGAAAAATTTCTAACATAGAGAAGTTGAAAGAACAGTACAGTAAACATCCTTATACCTGCCTCCTGTAGTCTACAGTTACTGCTTTGCTGTATTGGCTTTAATCCCATATGTAGCCTC